ATCTCATTCCTAATATCATTTGAAAACACAAAAATAAATAATAAGTATGAAAACTAATATAGAAATCAGGATTAAAAAAAGAATTAAATTAGTAATTATGTTTTCATTAAAATACATTGTGTTTCTTAGATCAAAAGATATAGTTTGATAAATACTGCCTTCATCTCGATAACACCTCTTGGTCCGGTAATCGAACTACAAAAACGCTCAATACTGCCTTGATGGGAGTTATATTTTCTTTGTTGATTTACATGTTATTTCTCAAAAATCTTTAAAAATCGTTAGAAACATTAGAAAGGTGGAGGAGATTACGATGCATGTGTAAGTTAAGCGAGTACTTGCTCAATCTTTCTAAAGATCAACAAAACGAAACTATATGTTCATGTGTACTATGAGTTTGATTGGCAGAGCATTTAAAAGAGCATTATGTTTTTATCATTAAATTTTGATTGGTTGAAAGAGCATTAAGTAGAACATTTACTAAATGCCAATGCTCTCAAAAAGCTTCACCCTCAATGCTCTCAAATGAAACTTTTCCAGAGCATTGACCTCTAAATATTTTTAAAAAATTAAATTATATAAATAATTTATTTTAAATTATAAAAAATAAATTATATCAAATTTTAATTATTTAAATTCATATTTATCATTATTTTATTTATTCTATTATTTTAAGATAATTTTATGATATAATATTAATTCAATTAAATATAATTTAAATTCAAACAAATTATAAAATAAATTTATGATATAATTTATAAATATAATATATACAATCATTTCAATAAAAATAAATATAAATAATTCCTGTAATTATAAAACATATATATATACTATATATATTAATATCTATCAGTTTTTTATATGTTCTATCATTTTTTAAAATAAATTTTAATAAAAATAGAACTTAAATATTAAAATTTATATTTTATAAATATATTTATATTTGTCTTAAAATGAAAATTTAATATATACCATTAATTAATTTGTCATATTATTAATAAAATAATAATTTAATAAAAAATCTAAAAATTGATGTTATAACTTATTACTAATATATATAAATATATATATATATATATTGTATTATAATACATATAAATAAGTAAAATAAAAAAATTATTTAATTTTATATCTAATCATTCACAGTTTTGCCAATCACTTAAAATGTGCATATTAATTATAACATACTGCTCCAGCTTCTTACTACTAATGCTGCTTTATGCTACTGCTCATCAAAAAGCAATCAAGGCCTATATGAACAAAACGAAGTTGTTGCTTATAAACGAAATCAAGGTTGAGCTCTAAAGACTGTGTGATCTTGATCGTTTTTGTAGGTTTAGAAAATACGTACAAAACCAAAACCCAAAACAAAAATATCAGAATTGAGAATCAAGCTATTATGTTATTGACAAAAGTAACGAACAAACG